ACTACCCCATACACTTCCCTCACGATACCTGCGAGATCCCTTCACAATCTCACACTAGTACACATATATAAATTATGTGAACCAAATTATAAAGTGATGACAGTACCAAGTACATGCCATACCGACCAGCCGGTCCAGAGCCAGACTGGAGTCAAACTCAACAGGGTCCCCACTCTCCCCGCTTAGCCCTTCAACCCCGTTCCCTTGACTGTCGTTTCGCTAGATAGTAACTCAGGACAGAGGGAATCTCATTAATCCATTCATGTGTAAACCCAATCGCACCGCAGGAGAGGGGACTAGCGTAAAGGAGCCACACCTCCACTCCAGTCGCTCACACACATGTCGATGGATATCGCCACGCCCCCATTCAGTGAACCCCACAGAGGCCGCAGTGGAGTGGTCCAGCAACACAAAGCGTCCTTCCCACTCACAGTGCACACACACATAATGACAGTCTCACATGCTCATGTCAGAGAGGCACAACGGCATTCCCTAAAACGCTCACTAAGCCACACACCCACAGAGAGGAACAGAAAAACACACGAAAACAACAACAACAACAACAGGATACCAACAGCACACAAAGCACTCACAATACAATAATCACAGGTGCCACTCCCACCAGAGAAAAACATCCACCCACACCAGCACATCAACTCAACCCCAAAAACAAAAAAAAAACACAGACCAACCACGTGAAGCCGTGGCAGACCAGTCTCAGTCCACCTCCCCACAGTCTGCAATCACCCAAGCAAGCCACACACACACACACACACACCACAAGGGCACAAATATCTCCGTGGCAATACCGTGAGTGACACCACCGAGAAAGAGAGAAGGTGAGAACAGAGAAATGTGTTTTCATTACGTGGGCGGTGCGAGTAGCAACCCAAACACACAAAGGAACACACAACAGCTGGGCATACTCAAACACCTACAACCCACCAATCTTTATACCAAAATAAAAATGTAAAAAAAAAAGTGACTGCGTGAGGCAGACACAATAATAGAACAAAGATGTAAAAAAAAAAGAAATTCATTACTTACTGTGGCTGCGATGCCTGGACACAGTCCAATCCACCCCAAGGTTAACAACGGAAAATCACTGTGTACTGAACGTGCCGTACCCATATCTTTCTTCTTGATGTCCGTGTAACAGTTTGTATATAATGAAAAAAAAAGAATCATTTCACAAAAATGAACACACAAAATACACGAGGTGTATAGGAAACGCAAAAGAGAAACACACAGCTGCACATAATGTGCAATGAAATTATAATGAAACACAAGGGAAAACAAAATAATAAAAACAAAACAAAAAGAAAGCCGTGATCACCATGTGAATATGTTCCGGAGGCATCCAACACAATTTCCAACAGTAGGTGTGTGTGTGTGTCTTTCGTACAGGGCGAGCAGTGGGAATGATGCACACATGATGATGGTCCACACGCACAAAGAGAGAAGGAGGGTTGGTAGTGTGCGTGTTTGTGTGTCTTGAACCTCCTGCCATTCTTCACATTTCAGTCACAGCAATTAAACACATCGGGATTGTATCTCATTCCCATGGGTAAAAACAACGGTTAGTAATATCACGGAACACACACACACACACATCACCATGAGGACACAGTAAATGGCGGAAAAACAGAGCCCAGATAATAATGCCAACAAACAAAGAGGACACTTCCCTCACAAAATGATGGTTTGTCATGTGATGATTGCAATAAGGAGTCCAATAGATGTGTTCAAGATAAAGGTGCAAATAAGAGATTTATCGAACTGAAAAAGGAAACATTAAAATTCAATAAAAAGAACAGTGCCCTTACAATGCATCAATGTCCACTCAAACAAAGGTTAACTGTGCAACTGTGTCATGGGAACACCGATTAGTACACGAGAGTGCAACCCAATACAGAGAGCACAAGAAGAAACAATGAGGGACTGTGCACCAGTGCAGGACTGCTGCTACCATCTTTCTTCTTCTTGGCCTTTTCTGCAGCAACTCGTCTCGCCTCTTCCTCGGCTTTTTGTGCCGCTGCCTGTTTCGCCTTTTCTGCAGCAACTCGTTTCGCCTCTTCCTCGGCCTTTTGTACCGCTGCCTGTTTCGCCTTCTCTTCTTCGTCTTTTTTCCTTCTCGCCTCCTCCTCTTCCCTGGCCCTTCTCGTATTCTCTTCTTCAATCCTTCTCCTCTCCTCCTCAGCCCTCCTTCTCGCTTCTGCCCTTTTCGCTTCTTCCCTTAGCCTCTTCGCCTCCTCTTCCGCGGCAAGCCGTCGAGGTCTCTCTGCCTCCATCCTCTGCTTAAAATCCCTGCGAGCATCTTCCTTAAGGCGTTTTTTCTTCCACCTCTTAGCCTCCCCGTTTGGGTATTCTTCCGTCACTTCCTCTTTCTTGGGCTTTTGCGTTGCATTGACCCTTTCTACGGTGACGGTATGGGCGCACAGCCTCTTGATCTCGTCAAACATTTCGGTTATACGAGCGCTTATATCCAACTCGCTATTCAGTGCGCAAACGTGGGACTTGCCCCGTAGGTCAAAGAGACCCTTCCTGATGGTTTCCACTTCAGTATGGTTTGCCAAGACGTATTCATATTCCAGCTTCGTTTCTTCTTTTGTCAAACAACCTTTGTTCCCCTCTTCATGAATTGTATCATTGTACCAATTGAAGTACTTGTTGATCTCCTTCTGCATATCAACAAGGTTATCATAATACGTCGTACTCGAGAGTCGTGTTGCGTTCACCTTTCCCGCCAGTCCTTGCGTATGCGGCATTGCCGCATTAAACTTTTCCATCATCTGAATGTAACCGTCCCTGTACTCCCGAACCTCTTTGCTGTCGCACTTCAACTTCTTTACCCCAGCTACCTCCTCATTTGAATCTTTTCTTCTGACACCCTCTAAAATGTCAATGGTCTTATTCACGGCAACTCCAATGGCCTCGTAATTCTTTTCACACGCCTCAACGGCCTCCCTCCATACGTTTAATAAATCCTTTCCTTCTTCCACCGCCTTCCCTTGCATTCTCCACGCGATTTCCATGCCTTTTTTAGCTTGACTGAGATACCCTCTTTCCTGTTGTGGGCACGCTGGGGTTGGTTCGGCCGTACACACACAACATTGCAGAAGTACCAACAGGTACACCACACGGCGCAGTCGGTCGAACACCGTTGTCATGATTGTCACTGCGAGTTGTTTGGATCTGTGGCAACAAGGAAGAAGAGGAAAAGGAGAAAAGAGACGCACATTTAACACACAAGGCAGACAATACACAGCAACACAGAGAGAGAAAGAAAGAGAGAGTACACATCACAACAGCAATCAAACACAACCCAATAAGGGAATTACAGTAAACCACTCACACAATAAAACACACCCAGAGTTACACAGATATTGAAACAACACCTTGAATTTAGAAGAAGTGGAAAACAAATGGTATCAAAACAATATTGAATAAACGTCTCCACACACACTCCAATATCTTTTACTCGGTATTCATACACACAAAGTGTGTCTGTATTCTCATTATAATATAATCATTACCAGGCAGTTTGAACACCACAATACACCAAAAACACAGTGTACACCTGGCAACATACAAAAACAACACCACAAATCATCAGCAAAACAAAAAGACTGTACAATAATCAACACACTTCCAAAGGGAAAAAGAAAAGAAACCAATGCATCACCATAATATTTATACCAACACCACAATTGGTATCTAAAACCCACTCACCCACAACCATAACAAAAATGACTGCATACATCACTGTAATACCATGCCACTCTTTACAAACAGAGGCAACACACAATTACTCTTTCACACACATATTACCTCTTTATTTATCCCTATTACTATTATTTTATTTCTCCCACGGAATGCCGATTCGCCTCCTCTTCTCCCACAAGAATATCAGCAAATTAAAAAAAATAAAAACATCCAAACACTCACATGTCCTTTACTCCATGATGTGCATTAGGATGGTAATATCAAACATATCCCCTTCCACCCCAACCCAAAAAAGACTCCACAAACCACATCACCACGTTTTTCTTTTTGTTCTTCGTCACTTTATGGATGTTACTCCAATGGAACGGGCCATCAAGAGTAATACATAAATATACATAAATACAATTTGTTTTTATATTATTTTTTACTACCGTTGGGCATGGGGAGTGCGCATTGGTAATGAAATTGCAATGGATCTCGTGGGTGACAGAGCACGGATTTTTTTCGTCTCTCTGAGTCGCCTCAGCGGCTAATCCAATTTCCACCACTGGAGGGCATAATTGTTACTATCTCTAGGGTCCCTGCCACTCCTTTATCAGCAGCATTCACACTAAGGTGAATTATGTAATAGAAACTGCTGTTGATAGCACACTGATACGCACCCCAGGATCTTCTTGGATAAAGTTTTGTCTCAGTGCGATTTTCCCGGACCCGGTGCTTTATGACGTTTGTAGCTTATTGAACCAGTAAACTCTACAGAAGAGAGATACTGACCCATGACTTTCCTGCAAAAAAATATACGAGGTAATGGACCTTGGCATAACTTTTCGAGGGTAAAACGTCACCAAGGGGGTAGCATTCTGAAGAACGCATGTATTGAAAGAAAAAGGAAAGAATTTGGTTTTTAAGGGAGACCACCCACTACAAACATTTAGTGAGTGAGTTTAATTTCTTTGAATAAATTCAAGTACTTAACGTTGGTACCTCGATAAGGTAGAACATCCTTACCAAGGATTTTTTTTTATATTCTTCGTGTCTTTATGGATATTACTCCAATGGTACGGCTATCAACCGTACCCCGTAGAGCACCTAATTACCGACTTAGGAGTGGCTCCGAAGAAGAAGATCCCTTTATTTTATAGGATCCTCAAGCTCTTGTAATATGATTTTTTGTTGTAGTCCGTTCCCAAACGAGAGAACCAGTCTAAGAGAAATCTGATCGAGTAAACCCTACCAGATCTCTCTACTCTCACTTTTCTTACCCAGAGCCCGTCCTCAAGTCTCCTTTTGTGTTATTATTTTTGTTATTTTTGGGTGTTTTGTTATAGAGTGGCCTCAATGAACTCCTATTTATTTTGTTGCTTGTTTTTGGTCAGTGACAGACGCCTTGAGCGTGCTCTTCTATCAGGGTTTCCATGGTCGTGCTCGTCGCTGATTTTAGAGAGGTGGGGAAGGTGGGCTGCGTAGGGTTTCTTGGGTGTGAAGTCTGTGGCATAGCGTAGTTCCGCTCCACCGCAATAAGGAATTTTGCTAACCGCTTAGAAAAACATAGTTTCATCAGGCGTACATCATCAACTATCGCAAATTGAACTCGCAGTGGATGAAGAGTGGGGCAACTCAAGAGATGCAGAGCTGTTTCGTCGCATTCGTCGCGTTGGCTGGTGTGCGCGTGAGTAGGTTGATACCCGTGACGTGACATTCGGTGTAGAGTTAGGCCTGATTTACTCATACATTGGTGACCACACGCGGGACAGACTAACGCCGGAAGGTCTCTCGTTTTCGTAGTTTTGTATTGCCCATTGGTGGAATTCGATTTTTTGTGGCAGACCCTGTCCATCATGGAATTTTCTGCAGTGGATGGCGAGGGAGTCTAGGTGGGCGTAGAACTTCTGGCATACTCCGCATTGTACTTTCTCTCTGTTCTCACGCTCCGGTGGCGACGTATCTCGCTGGCGTTTCTTATTTCGCAGAAACGTTACTTGTATTATTGCTGGCAAAATTGGGGTTCCAGGAGGATGTTTAAACTTTTCGTGGCATGCGAGAGCTCCAATGTTGCCGAATTCGCGTAGACAAAATTCACAGCGTAGTGAAGCAGGTTGTGGTATTAGGTGAACTTTGGGTGCGTCTTTTGTGGGGTTCTCAGGATGCATCGCTCTAATATGGGCTTTGAGACCTGTTTTAGAGCGCGCCACCATATCACATTTGTCACAGGGAAATGCTGATTCTTCTGGAATCGGTTCGTCGGCTCGCGGGCGTTTTCTCTCTGGGACAGGGCATGTGACGTTGTGCATGTATCTAAGGTGGCGCGTTAATCCATTTTGAAGCGGAAATGTTCGTTTACACATACTGCAGGCAAACGGGTGGGGTTTTGCTTTAGGCGAAGTGGGAAGGGGTAACGTTGTGTCCGGAGGTGGCTCATGGGGGAATTTGATCTTCCGGAGCGCGTCGGCTCTCTTTAACCCATGTGTTTGTTGACCATATGTACTACTGCGGTGTTCCTGCATGAGTATTGCGTCCCACATTCAGTGCAGGTGGCAGGTTCCGTTGCTTTGTTTAGGGCATAGTGAGGTCGTTTTTGGCTAGGTGGAATAACGGGTGCTGGGATACTGACTTTTTGGGGATTGCACCATCAACAACCAGGGGGTATATGGGTTTTTACCTTTCGCAGCAACCAGCCATAGCGATGCGAAGCATATGTGCGAAAACGTGCTAAGGCTGTTTCTTCTTCTCTAGTAAGTTCCGGGTTGTCTTTGGTGGGGTCCCAGGATCCCGTGATTTTTGATCTATGGGAGGGAGGGGGTGTACCCTCTCCTTTAAGTATTCGTTTGGCGTAGTCTATTATATCTGTGATCCAAGTATCAGTTCTTTGCGGTAATTCTGCAGCTTTTTTGGCTTCTGTGTCACTTTTTTCATTTTTCACTACTCCGCAGTGACCAAAGATAAATTGTAGTCGTATGCGGGCCTTGCGACGTTGCACTTGAAGTATTAGGTTCCACAGGAGCCGTAGTAATGGGTCTGTTACAGTAAGTGGGCCTGTTTCCAGTTCCGTGAGAAGAGACAGTGAGTCCGTAAAAATGGAGACCCTGCAGGGCGTTTGGTTATTTGTAGGAATTATTTTGAGGAGTCTCCGTAAACCTTCGTATGGCGCTACGGATTCGGCTGCATAGCTGCAAGCTAGGGGGCCAGCGCCTCTATGTGTGGTACAGAGCAGTTCACCATCTTTGTATATCATTGCTGCTGCTCCAGATTTTACTCCGAGAAATACGGAGCCATCAGTCCAAATTTCATAATGGGTACGCGGCGGCGGATCTGTGCCTTTACGGCGGAAGTGACGGGCTATCCAACGCTCGGATGCTTCTCTTTT